TATAAACTACCACCACCTTCCTCAATCATAACTACCACCACCACCCTCCATAATTACCTATCACCACCCACCATCACCATCCTCAATAATAATCGCCACCACTGCCCTTCACCACTAGCTACTACCCCTGAACCACCATCATCAACCAAAATTATCACCAACCACTACCTCTAATTGGCATTCACAAGCATCACCGTTAGCCATTACCACCAACAACTACCATATTTTAAAAAAATATATATTTTATTGATAGAAGATTAAATTAATTACTATTTATTTGAATTTTATGTTTATTAATTTTCAAATAAAGATAAATTTAATACATTCAGATGTTAAAAATCAAACATTCTTAATCATTTAGTATTCAGATCTTCATACACATCTTAATATTCAAATGTGTATTCAAATTCAAATATCTTAATCTTAATACACCTCTTGATATTCAGATGTGTATTTAGATTCAAATATCTTAATCTTAAAAAAACAAATGAGGCCCAAGACAGACGCCAAATCTTCACTGTTTTGAGTTCCAAAGTACTTAGTAGTAATATCTACACACCCAGAACTATGGACATGGAAAAGGAATCATATCCAAATATGATCTTAACCAAAATCTTCATTGGTGCCCCAAGCGCATGAGTTCTGTATTCCGATTCTACTATATATCTGCCAAATCTTAATCAAGATTTCTTAATACTAAGGTTGAATATAAGATTGATTATTTTTGGATTTAAGTCATGCTGTGTAATGATTTTTTTATACCACCAGTATTTCTTAACATATTATAGTTGGTTACGGATCATTTATTCACATCAATGTTTATAGTTGATTTACCAACAATAATTTTTACGTGATGTAACTATGTAAATATTTTTTAAACCATCAATGCATATAACTAAAATTCTTATATCAAAACTCATGTTACGTGACAAACGAAAAAGGAGAATATTTATGTCAAGTGCTTCAATTTATTTCCACTTTTTTCATTTTATGAAAATGAAGCAATTTTATATAAATACTTTCTCGATCTCAATATATACCAAAAAAAGAAATTGAAATCATCTCATTTTTAAAGAATTTTCAAATTATTTGCTTTATCAAATTAATTTTTCAGACAACAACAACAACAACAACATCTCAGTATAATCCCACAAGTGGGGTCTGGGGAGGGTAAAATGTACGCAGACCTTACCCCTACTCCGAGGGGCAGAGAGGATGTTTCCAGGAGACCCTCGGCTCAAGAGAGCAACAAGAGACGATATATTAGTACTATCAATAGACTCATAATAAAATAACATAAAATACATAACATAAAATAACAAAATAACAGCAATATAAGAAATATAGGAAATACGAAAAGGATGGAAAGTATACTAATATCCAACAGATAAAGTCCTGCATCAGTAGCTGATCAGTAGCATCCTAAGACTAACTCCTAACTGGCTAGTCTCACTCTAGTGCGCTGTAGAAATATTCACAACTTCCCCCTAACCTACAACCTTAATGTTTGACCTCCACAATTCCCTGTCAAGGGTCATATCCTCAGTAATCCTAAGTCGTGTCATGTCCTGCCTGATCACCTTTCCCCAATACTTCTTAGGTCTCCCTCTACCTCTCCTCGTGCCCACCACAGCCAGTCACTCACACTTCCTCACTGGTGCATCAGTGCTCCTCCTCTGAATGTGCCCGAACCATCTGAGTCTTGCTTCCCGCATCTTGTCCTCTATGGGGGCCACGCCCACCTTCTCTCGAATATCTTCATTCGTAATCTTATCCATCCTTGTATGCCCGCACATCCATCTCAGCATCCTCATCTCTGCTACTTTCATCTTCTGGATGTGTGAGTCCTTAATCGGCCAACACTCGGTCTCATACAACATAGCAAGCCTAACCACTGCTCTATAAAACTTACCTTTTAGTAACGGTGGCACTTTCTTGTCACACAAGACTCCCGTCGCTAACCTCCACTTCATCCACCCCACCCCTATACTGTGTGTGACATCCTCGTCGATCTCCCCGATCCCCTGAATAACTGACCCAAGGTACTTGAAACTATCCCTCTTAGGGATGACTTGAGAGTCAAGCCTCACTTTCATTCCTGCTTCCGTCGGCTCGGCCCCAAATTTGCACTCGAGATATTCCGTCTTTCAGACAATGATATAAATTTTTGCACTATCAATATTCTAATATATAAATCAATTATCACTGTATACTTAGTATTCAGCCAATATATTCATATCAAGTATATATATGTAAAAATTCCAATGACGCGGGAATGTGCAATGTATAATGCTCAAGACTCGTTCTTTTTTGAATTAATTAAAAGGAATTTTGATGAAGAAATAATGTATGGGGTGGTTGCCTGTTGGAAGAGACGCAGATAGCGATTTATAAATTTACGAGCGCTTGTTTTCGCATGCGGCTTTCTTTCCCACATGGGAAGATACCTTCTATGCGTTATCGAATCACCGAATTTGCTAAAACATAAGATTAAATTATTAAACGCATTTAATTTGTTAGAGCCACCCACCCCCACCCCCTCCCGCTTGAGAACCAAATGAAATCACAAGTAAACAAGTAACGACAAAAGATTGTGCCTGTTTCTACGTAAAACATATGTATACTATTGGTATTGGTGTAGTTTAACTTGTTATAATATGTTAATTAATTATTATTTTTATTATATAGATTTAACTGTATTTATCTTATAAATAATTTGATTATTTAAATATATTTGAAACTATAGAACATAAACTTCTTTCAAATAAAATTTAAGATATAATTTCTATCTACCTTAATCTATTGGAAATTTATAGCGGGGAACTTCAAATGCACCGTAGTAGGCTGTAGCCAACTATAAGCAGATATATTGACATTATATATTTATATTCCTTCAGAATTGAAGGAATCGAAACATAAAAAGGATAAGAAAACATATAATAAAAGAAAGAAAAAAATTAAGGGCTGGTATATAAACATGAACCATGTATTTTTTAAAAGAGAAACAAATAACCTATTTGCTGACTCATCATAAACATGAACCATGGATGCACTGACTCATCATATTCAAGGGGATGTGCCATGGTGCATGCTATTTGCTGATGACATTATTCTAATTGATGAGACACGAGGCGGCGTCAACGAGAGGATAGAGATTTGGAGACATGCTCTTGAGTCTAAAGGTTTCAAGTTGAGCAGGACGAAGACCGAATACCTCGAGTGCAAATTTGGAGTTGAGCCGACGGAAGCGGGAGTTGAAGTGAGGCTTGACTCTCAAGTCATTCCCAAGAGGGGTAGTTTCAAGTACCTTGGATCGGTTATTCAGGGGATCGGGGAGATTGACGAGGATGTCACACACCGTATAGGGGTGGGGTGGATGAAGTGGAGGTTAGCGTCGGGAGTCTTGTGTGACAAGAAAGTGTCACCGTTACTAAAAGGTAAGTTTTATAGAGTAGTGGTTAGGTCTGTCATGTTATATGGAACTAAATGTTGGCCGGTAAAGAACTCACACATCCAGAAGATGAAAGTAGCTGAGATGAGGATGTTGAGGTGGATGTGCGGGCATACAAAGATGGATAAGATTAGGAATGAAGATATTCGAGAGAAGGTGGGCGTGGCCCCCATGGAGGACAAGATGCGGGAAGTAAGACTCAGATGGTTCGGGCACATTCAGAGGAGGAGCACTGATGCACCGGTGAGGAGGTGTGAGCGACTGGCTGTAGTGGGCACGCGGAGAGGTAGAGGGCGACCTAAGAAGTATTGGGGAGAGGTGATCAGACAGGACATGGCGCGACTTAGGATTACGGAGGACATGGCCCTTGACACGGAATTATGGAGGTCGAGCATTAAAGTTGTAGGTTAGGGGAAAGTTGTGAATATTTCTAAAGCACAATAGAGTGAGACTAGCCAGTTAGGAGTTAGACTAAGAATGTCATTGGTCGGCTATTGATGCAGGGCTTTACCTGCTAGTTTTACTATACCAGCCATCTATTTCGTATTTCGTATTCTGTATTTCATATCTCTTATATTGCTGTTATTTTATTATGCATTTTTATGGCACTAATATATCGGCTCCTGTTGCTTTTTTGAGCCGAGGGTCTCCTGGAAACAGCCTCTCTATCCTTTGGGGTAGGGGTAAGGTCTGCGTACATATTACCCTACCCCATTTGTGGGATTATACTGGGTCGTCGTTGTTGTTGTTGTAAACAAATAACCTAAGGCAACATATATGTTGTGTTCTTTTAATGGCCAAAACACGCAGGCCACCAAAGCACTTTAATTTCTTTGGTTTTTTCTTATTAAAAAAAAAAAGAATTTCCTTTGAGCAAAGTTGGAAAATTGTAGCGTAGAAAATAGCAGCCTTAAAAAATGCCAACATTCCTCTCGTGGCTTGATCATGAAAAGTCTCACTTTAATCATTTTTAGTAGCTTGTTAAAAATGACTAACAACGATCAACTGTATTTAGATGATAGTATTAAAATTGGGCCGATAATCAAGCATTATAAGCTGCCACCCACCCATGTGATTTAGTACCCCATAACATCAGCATACGAGAACTTTCCTCCATACTGCCTCCACGTGTCTCTTTCTTACCTTCACATTCATTTCTAATGTTAATTAAATTATGGTTGTAACTCGTAAACATAATTAGTAATATAGTTCATTTTAATCATGTAACTCTTGGCGTATTCTATGTTTTTCTCAGTTTGCTATTTTGTCCTCGTACAGGGCCCCAGGCAAGGGCTGATGTAGAGTAGCATTGCGGGGTTCATACGAACTCATAGTTTTCGGTGCAGAGCATAAATTTAAATATAAAAAATTATTAAAATTGTTACAAATGGTAGGTCCGAACCCACAAATTTAATAATATAAATTTAATAATATAATAGGTTCAATGCTAAGAGGCTTAAGATTGAACTATAAAACTTAAATTTTGGATCCGAGGCCTTTGCTCCCAGGTTGCTATATAAGAAGCCAAGTCACCCACTTTCTTTCTCTCAATCTCTTCATTTTTATGTGATAAAAAGTGAGAGCCTCTAAAAAGTGAAAGAAAAAAATGATCAAGTTAAGATCAAAGAGGTTATCCAGAAGTAATTCGAAAGTTAGAAGAAGTGGGACTGAGGCAGCAGGGAAAAGTATTGTGGGAAGCAAGAGCATTAATTGTGGTGAAATCAAGTGGGAATTACGTCCAGGAGGTATGCTAGTTCAAAAAAGAGAATGTGACAACATTAATGGTGGAGAAACGATCATCACACTTCGAGTCTCAACTGTTTCTAATTGGCATGACATATCTATCCAACCCACTTCAACTTTTGGTAAGCCTCTTGTTCTGCTCTCTGCACTTGGCCTTGATTAGGAAGGAATAAAGTACGAATTTAAATTTTTAAACGAGATGATCATAAAGTCATATGGTGTTAGTAATATTAACTTTGATGAATCTGTTTGTATAAGTGAGTTCTCTCTTTATGCCAATGGATTTTCATTAAGAAGTGTTAAAATATATAAAAGTAACCATAGGAAAATATTAACGGGAAATCCACCATATAGTATATATGCATATAAAACTAAATATTTATCTACCTATAAAGTATATTTTTCCCACCAAAGAATGTTAGTTTGATAAGGTGGCTCTATCACTGGCTTTGAGCTTCCCTCTCTCTCAATTCAGCTCATCGAGCCACTAACATATTGCTCCTTATGATTATTAGCCTATTGAGTTTAATATATGTCTGTCAGCTCCAGGCTCGCCTTATTGACCCTCCAACTCTCTCTCTCTTTTCTCGAAAAAGAAAAGCCAAAAACAATCAAATATACATGTAAACCTTAAAACCAGAGTTACACGTGCAAAAAGGTTCTACAGAATGTTATATTCATCCAAATACTACATTTACCCTACCTATAATATTAAGATTTTCGGTTAGATATTCAATTGTTTTCACAAACATACAATGCTAATTAATACACCTAAAAAGTAACTACATATATACATGTAATAATTAATGGAAGTTGCCTGCAGCTATACCAATCTTATTGAAACCAAATGCATTTTTGTTGGTTTTTCAGGTGAATTGAAGATGATGCTGTCAATGGTAACTGGTTTGGAACCAAAGGAGCAGAGGCTATTATACAGAGGGAAGGAAAGGGAAGATTATGAACACTTGCACATGGTTGGAGTGAGAGACAAGGACAAAGTGCTGCTATTCCAATTTCCACCTATCAAAGAGAGTCTCCAAGTCATAGGCGGCTCTCCTTATCGCACAATTAGCGTCTAAAACTCCTACTAATTAATTAGTTAATTCACTTCTATATCTATTACGTAAGAGTTTGTGGTGTCTTGCTCTCTTGCTTAATTACTGACTAACCCCTAAATAAGAAAATCTTCATGAATGGAATATAATATGGCGATAATTTAATCTTTTGTCTCCAACTTGGCCAATTCGGAGTAGATAATTTGTTTCTTTGTTGTAGCAGTAAATTTTATAGTTATTGTCTAACTATATTTTTATTGTATGATGGGCATTCACATGGAATAGTAAACAAACATTATCCAATTGGGGACAAGAAGAGTAAAACATTATCTTGTGTTCTAAATATTCAAAATACAACTACTTAACCCGATAACTTAAGGGTTTCCGAAGGATGAATTGAAAAATGACTAGGTTGATTTTGTCTTTACTTTATCTCAATGAATTACACTTTCCTTCCCAATTTACATGACATTGTTTTAATAAGCACCAGAGCTTATCAAAGAAAGATTTTTAAAACTAGTAAATGAGGTTCCTAACAAGTCATATATATTTTTATGGTTTTAAATCGTTTCATTAAGGTAAAACAAAAAATTTTAAGATTAAATTGTTTTTAAATATAAAAAGATATCATTTTTCCGACGGACTAAAAAAGAAAGAGCTACACATATATTGGGATGGGAAGTGATAATTATGCACTAATTCATTACTATTTCAGGTCCAATATTATGTGTTGTTTTGGCATTTTAAATTTGTTCCAAAATATTTTACATTTTAGAAAAAACAAGAGGCATGTATTACTTTTTTCTCTAATTCACCCTTACTGCTCCAACTAATTGAATATTAATTAAGAGAAATGTTTAAAAGAGAGTAATTATTAATTATCATGCTTAAGACCCTTGCAAAAACTCCTAACATGGTTAAATAAAATTCCATGACAAAGAAAGAATGATTATGCATATCCTGAAACTATTCAAAAACATCCATCTATATGGCTTTTTATTATAACTAAACTCGGGAAATCTTACATTCGAAAAAAAGAATCACTCTAATCCCAAACACCATTCAGCTAATCATTCAAACATGTCGATCAATGCATCTTAGTATAGAAATCCAAATCATTAGCCTTAATTAGGTGTTTCAGTAGTAGTCATCATTGGCAGCAGTTGAAACCCCAGGACCAGCAGCAGCAGCAGCAACAGGGGAAGCACCATTTGGTGCACCAGCCTGAGGTGCTGCAGAAATTGTTGACTTAGGTGCAGCTGCATTTGGTGCACTAGCCTCACTGGCGGGTGCGGGGGGAGATGAGGGCTCCACATCAGAAGATGAAACTGGGCTCGAGGCTTCTGGAGCTTGAGACGCAGAAGGGGTAATGGAAATGGAATCTGCTGATGGAATGCTAGCTGCTTCAGGGGATGAAGCAGGGGAAATGGCTTGTGCCAATCCTGCAACAAGGGCAACGAAGACGAGAGCCAATGCAATTACTGGGCGTGCCATTTTTTCTTTTGTTTCTTGATTTGTTTTTTGAGTTTTGGGTTTTATTGATAGGGAGTTATTTGATTCTTTATTATAAGTACTTCTCTTTATGATCAGAGAAATACTTCGGTGGCTAAAGAATGAATTAAACAGAGTGGTAAAGGTGGCTTTTATAGGGTGGTGAAAGGTGTCTAAGAGCGGACATGGCGGGGATGAATGGACAAAAAAATATTTGACAGGTAAAACAGAAAACAAAGGATGGCTCATGATGATCATGTTTGTTCGAGAATGAAGGAGAAGGTAGACCGACTACCATGCTATTTTGCTTGATTTCTACCACAACATCTTAGGTTGTCTTCTTTAACCATTACCTTTACATATGAATTATTCATACCATTAAGAAATATGTCCCCCTCTTTAATTGGCATTTTCCATCAATCGGGAGCTAAATTTCAAGCATAATTACTCCATTCATTTTATTTTTTATGATGGTATTTGATTGAACAAAGAATTTAGAAGGTATCTTGTACTTGAAAATTGAATTAAACGAAAGTGAAAACTAACTTGATTTGATTTGATTTGATTCGAGTTCATGTTAAAGAATGACATTTGATTCAAACAGTTATTAAAAGAAAAAAAATGAACGAATCAATGAATTTTTTGTTCTTCCTTTTTCGGTAATGAATGGTACTCGCATGGAATATAAAGGTTATGTCATTAGTCTAGAGAAATCATGTGTAACATATATTTTTGTGCTTAATCACAATAACATTTACACCAATCTCCAAATACATATTGCGTTGATTCTAAGGTTTGCCGTGCTATAAGAAATATGAATAAATGTTTGGAATTTCTTCCGAGTGGGAATGAATAAAGCTATCTATGATTGATCACTTAAGAAATTAAAAGCAACGAGTTGAGCTAATAATTTTCCTTTATGTTACTTTGCTATTATTTAGAAGCCGGACTTGTGGTGTAAGAACATTGGGATTTCAAAAAAATTAAGGGTAATAGGTAATTCTTCATGTCTTCTCAAAGGGACACACGTGTGCTACTATTATTTGAGCAAAATCACGTGTACTGCACTTACATTCAATTATAGTCTATAGTACTACTTCACATCTCACTATTTCTCTCTCATTTAAAAGATTATCTCTGTTTGTATCTCAACTTTCTTCTACTCTTTTTCTGTTCTTCAATCTTTTAAATTGTGAAATTGTTTGATTGATTGGTTTGTGGTTGCTTATGGCGTTAACTCTATTGTACTTGTGATTTTTGGTAGATTCTACTTCATTTTCCTTCTTTCTTTGTTGCACCCATTTCTTGATGATGTGATTTGATAGATCCAATTTGGTTTTCTTCATATTTTAGATTACTCTATTAAATTTCTTACATGCAGGATAGTGAATTGTATCTCTTTTGCTCACGATTTTTCGAAACAAATACTTGGTGCATATGTCAGAATACATATTTGTTTCTGATTTATGGCTAAGAAATTAGCAAATTTTGATTGAGATGACTTTTAAGGGAGTAGTCCTTGTCAATAACTACTATTTTTAGGTGCAGCATTTCAATTTTGGCTTTATTCTGGGAAAATTTAAGTCCTGCTGTCAGTTCCTATACCCACAAGTCTGCTAAATTATTATTTTTATCTTTAATGGTGTTTGAAACAACAGACAAACTTTAGTCACTCCTATCGGGTCCGAATATGAAAGGACTCTTTTTTGTCCACATAAGAGATGTTACTACATGAATAGAACAAAGGTTAGATAAGTGGATCTGTTGATGCTATGTGATTGAGAGTTTGTTGGTGAAGTTCATGAGATATTTGTAGTTCGACTAACTCTAGTTTGAGGAAGAATATAGTGTAGTTTGCAATGACAATAAATTTAGACTTGATATTTATGGTAGATTTTTTATGACTTAAATATGTATGTCAGCTTTTTCTAACTATAAATTATTTTACGTAAAAAATATAATTTCACCATAAACTAAAGAAATTATTTTATTGGAATATTTTCTATTGTCATTTGTTTTATTTATATGTGCAACGTGTAGACTGATTTTGTCTGAAAAAAATATTGCATTGAATGTCATTTGGCATCTCAATATGCTTTGGTCTAAAGCAAGTAACATACATGATAAATTTGTTACTTTAAACTTTTATTTCCTACCAATTACTTATTGATCTAAAAACATGTCAAGTGTGTCTTATCAAGTATTCTTTCTATTTTTTTCATCTATCTACACTAAAATCTTCAGCTATATTCACCCAAATTCATCAAATAAAAGCATTTCGATGTACGATTTAATAGAGATATCAACTATTTTGTAGTACTTTTAGTGTTACTGCACTTTAGATGCATCGTGAGCTAAAAGCCTAATTTAACAGTTAGTGTCTGCTTCGTTAACCTTTTAATTCGCAAAGGTAATGGGAAGTTACATTGTGCTCCACCATTGTAGCCTATAACATTTGTTTTTGGAGACGTAGTATTACTAATTAACCAGTGTGATTGGATTGTTAGCAGAGAATTGTTTTTTAAAAAAAAAATTAGGTTTCTTATATTCTTTGCTGCATTTACCAGTATGTCGCTTATGGTACTTTCTGTTTTATGCCTTTGACTGATATTCAAATTGGGCCTCCTGTTTCGAGTTAATACAGTAAAAATAGCACGGTATAGCCAGTTTTCGGATTGGTCATTCAAAAATAGCCAACGTTTACGAAGTTAATTAAAAATAGTCACTATTTTGCTGCAACAGAGACTGGTCCAGTATAATATACTGGAGTTCGGTGCACCTATGTATGAACTCCAGCATATTATGCTGGACCGGTATACTTTGCTGACTCCAGTATAATATACTGGAGACTGGAGCACCGGTGCTCCAAACTCCAGTATATTATACTGGACAATTATACTTGCTGGAGCTCCAGCATATTATGTTGACGTTCCAGCATACTTATCCTGGAACTCCAGTATAATATGCTGGAGTTCAAGCATACTTATGCTGGAACACCAGTATTATATACTGACGTATTTTCCGGGTTTTGCTATCTACTATATAATATGATAGCAAATGTGTTCTCTGCAATTTCGTCATGTATATGATTACTGATCTAGATATTTTAGGATGATAACATATTTATTCTTTCATCAAAAAGGAATTTTTAAAGTTTTTTAATTCTTTAGATGCTTTCTATCAATAATGCATGCGCAAAAATATTAACAAATAATCTTTTTGTTTTTTGTATACTAGTTTCTCGTCACGTGTGTTGCACGTGTATGCCTAGTTATGTACATAGTACGCAATTTAGTAAATTAATACCAATATTATTAGAGCATAGTTTTTGGAGGGGTTGCTCTAATGGTAAGCAACTTCCACTTCCAACCAAGAGATTGTGAGTTCGAGTCTCCCCAAGAGCAAGGTGGAAAATTCTTGGAGGGAAGAATGTCGGGGATCTATTTGGAAACTGTCTCTTTACCCCAGGGTAGGGGTAAGGTCTGCGTACACACTACCCTCCCCAGACCCCACTAAGTGGGATTATACTGGGTTGTTGTTGTTGTTGATTATTAGAGCATAGTTTTGAGTAAATATTTAAACTTAAGAAAAAGACTAAATAATTATACATGAAAAGATAAAATACAAGTTTATGTGGATATGAAATAGTATAATAGATTCAAATTTCGCTCCTTAAGTAAATATTGAGCTATTATGGAGCATGAATGTTGATTACTTTTCTCGAATATAATCGTCTATCTGTACAATCAATTAAACAAATTCTTCTCGTGAATAACAATAGCCTAAT